TAATGTATTTGCCGCGATGTTTACGGGTTCTTTAGTAAATAAATATTTTATCTGGGAGCCGTAATGCCGGAGATTATCAGCAAAACAGCGTGGAAGGCATCCATCTACCCCTCCGGCTCCGGCTTGCTTTTCCCCTCGGCGCCCGCTTTCCCTCCGTGACTCGGTCCCACGGGCAGCGCTAGGAGGGGGGAGATCTTTTCTGACAGATTTGGGGTGAGCCGTGAGGCGGCCGGCGGGCTCGGGGCGGGAGCCACCGGCACCCTCTGCCCGGGGGCGCCTCAGCAACGGCCGCGGGCCCAGCCGAGCCCCGGCCCCGGGCTGCGCTTTCGGGGCGAGGGGCTGGGCTGGGGTGCTGCGGCAGCTGGGGACCCCCCCGAGCGGGAGAGACCGGCCGGTGGGTCCCGCAGCGCGTCCCCGCGAGCTTCGGGCTCATTGGGAGCGGGACCCCCCCAGGCGTGAGGATGCGCCCCAAGAGTTGGGGGGACTCGTTGGCCACCCCGCCTCTGCCCAGCATCAGCCTCAATTTCCCTGCCTAGGCGAGCTTGGGAGTTTGAAAAAGTACCGGTTTGGGGTTTTTGGGGTTTTGTTGGGTTTTGTTGGTTTTTTTTTTTTTTTTTTTCTGCCCGGGGAGGGGCTCTCCTGTTCCATTTTTCTTAGTGTTTTCCCCTCAGCGCTTTGGACTTCAGCTATTTTACAGATCACGTCTCTTCCCAGGTGACAGCAGCCGGCTCCAAATTCCACCGATAGCTAACGCAGCCTGGGCCAGCGTGTAATAAAACCAAAGCCAGCGTGTAATCATCTGAAGCCAGGCTGAAACTTCGCGACGTCGAATCCAAAAAAGCCTAGAACCAGGATGAATGCGCATTTCAACACCCTCGAATCCCACGGCCATTTATTTGTCTGTTGCTTCACTGTGAGCTGGTTTGGTTATTTGGTGTTTCCTAGAAGCCGGCGTACACACACTCTCCGCAAGGAAATTATTCTAATAAAATGAATTATGACGCAAAAAGCAAGCAGTTTACTGTTTTACTCGCAGTCGGGTGGTAGAGCACGTACAACTTTTCATACTACACCTTCTCCTTTCAGTGCTTAAAGAATAGTTTTATTAATATCAGTTCTAGGTACTGTTTCTGAGCCTTGTTTCACCGGTGTGCTCACCCTTCCCTTTTCCTGCTCGAAACCAATGGAAAAGTAAGGGACTCATGTAGGCAGGAGATGGGTCGAAACGCAGAAAAACCCTGGGAAAGGCTGCCCTGAATTACGGAGCTACACCCATAGAGATGCGGAGCCGCAATGAATTCAGTGGTGTACTGCCAATCACAGGGAAGTGCTAATATATGCCAAAAATCCTCAGTGCACAACTCCTAAACTGGTATAATAGGGGGATATGCAATGGCAGGTGGTGTTATAGAATCGTCATAGAAAGAAGGAGAGAGGTTTGCTAATACAATATGCCCGTCCTTCGTGCTGACAGGTGACGAGGGGTCAAGCTGCTAATGAAGGTCTGCTCCATCGCGGCTGGGGGCTCAGAAGGTGGCTGCTTGAAAACCTCTTTCTTCCTCCAAGATGGTATATTGGCTGCTGCTTTTCAGGTTACTGCGTGCGCACATTCTTCCAAATCCTCTGTGTAGCTCCTAAAAGCACTGGACAAAAACAAGAAAAGATGCCCCCCAAACCAGCCTTTTGATTATTCATGAAACATCTTAGTAAATGGAAAATCGTGCCTCCAAGTCAAACCGAGGAGCGGACAGAAAGCAGGGTACCACAGCACAAGCTCATGCTATGGGAGATCTGCATCTCCAACAGACTCCCTTCAGCCACCCTCTGCAAGATTTGACAAAATTAATGTTGAATAGGCAAGGCTCCCTCTTTATCTCCCTGCTTCCACCGGCCTTTCCCGCCTGTACACGCTGCAGCACCGCGATCGCTTCCCTCCTGCTCTGCAGTGCCATGTTACCCACGACCTGCCAAACTCTGTCTCCCTCGTGGTGTCACACGTGTGCGTGGGAGCCGAGAGCGCAGGGATGCGGAGCCCCGCTGGCAGACGAGCCCCGGGGCAGGTCCCCCCATCGGCTCCTGCCCCATCTCAGCCCGGGGTGCAGCGGTGCCCGCACACGTCGGACAAGGGCAAGGCCCAGATACAGCCTTCCTCCACCATGCGCAGGTTTTTAGTGCAAATTGCCTGAAAGCACTCCCTTTTAACTACATGCAGGCAAATGTCGTTTGGTATGTCTCCATTTTCCCAGCCTGATATTCTACTGCCTACTGTGGGGGCAGAGGGAAGGCCATAAGGAGGGCAGCTGCAAAAATCTGCATGTTTCCCTCTGAAGTAAGTGCATGCTAAATATACTTCGAGAGAGAGTTAGTCTAAAATAGTAAATTAAAAGGCCTAAATAAGAAATTCCAAACAAAAGAAAAACCTCTGAGTGGTAACAGTAAGTAAATAAATTACTGGGCACAAAGTTGAAAATAAAGACAGTTTTATGGGCTATTTTTTTACTATGCAAGTAAGAAATCAAACAGATTCTAAAAAATCATCTTCATCACAAAAAGATGCATCTAGTTCTAGTTTTAAAATATTTGCCTGCCACAATTGTTGCTACTCTTTTAGAAAAAAATCCAAAAAAACCCATAAACAAAATATCGAGCGACACAGAGAGAGAGAACACTTCAGCCCAGACAAAAGAGTCAGATCAGCCCAAGTACCACCCAATGCTTAAAAAATAAACAAACAAAACCCCCAACCAGCCCCTGCCCAAACCCCAAAGTCACTCCCCAAGCCCAGGTACTTGGCTTTGCCTGCTTAAAATCGAGCAGCCAACCCACCTGCCTTCCTGTGACTGTCTCCTTCTCTAGTCAGTGGAAAGAGTTTTAAATGTCATATTCCAGTTGGGACTTTTTCCATATGTTTATATATACGGACATCTCGTGTACGTTCTCTTTCACAGGAGGGAGGGTTCATATAACCTAGAAGAGGCTCTATCACTTTAATGTTTATTCTCAGAATACTGCTATTTATGATACGGCTTGTGCGAGTTGTGTGATTCGGTTATCAGCAAAACTGAACTCATTTTCTTAAGGTCAATTGTTTTCGGTCTATATTAGAGTTTGAATAATATTGAAAGGGAGCTGGCAGGGGAATTTTCAGCATTTAGGTTTTTGTAGACACTCAAAATTCAGCACTACTACAAATTTTTTTTTTTTTTTTAAATTTCAATGAGAGTAGCTGGTAACCAATGGGAGCCAAATTTCATTAGAGAATTTTTACTGTCCTAGCAATTAATATCTAGTAGTTTTACAGAAGGTAGAAATAAACATTTACCAACACTTTTCCTACACTGAAATTTTCTCAAAAAAGGCCATCCAGAACTTAAGACAGGTTTGTAAATGTATTTTTATTATGTTGCAACAATCAAAATATATATGTACTACTGATTTTTTCCCCCAAATATTAAATGAAAACGTAATACATTTTTGCCCACGTTGTGTTCTTGAATGCTTTGGAATCTGTAAAGACCCTGACATAAAGAAACTGAAGCAACCGCACAATTAGAGACTGAAAGGTGTTATAGTGCTGCACTTACATTGCAAATGAAGTCAGATGTCTCTGTTTAATCAAATATAGCCTCAACAGTCTCTGTTTTGTGAGTATTAGAAACAATAAACAAATATACACAGAAAGCATCACAAACAGGAAATCGGTTATTTAAATACAACTGTATCCAACATAGCAGCTAAACACTGGACAATGTTTGAGGTCATCAGCACATCCACATGCTCTTCTAAATGACGCTTGGGATCCTGAAATACAAAGGATGCCATGAGAGAAATGATCGAAACACATCTCCGAAGGATCTCATTTACTTCAGGTCTCTTTAAGATGATTCTGAGTTAGGGAACACAGGCCAGTAATGCTTCTGCAGCTTCCATTCTATCAAGACCTAGCAAATAACTGAATTTCCATGAAAAATATTTTACTAGTCCATACTATCATTCAGATAAGTTGAGAATACGTTTAGGAAGTATATTTCTATCCAGCATCTGAAGAGTAACCATGACAGCTGTGAGTTTTAAGGACAACACACAATATGTGGAATTTACTATGCATCTCGCTAAGGCCAATATTTTAATCTTAGTTCTGGTACACTGCAATTTGTTTTCAGATCTTAGTACAAATGCGTGTTCTAATCCTGTAAAGATTATAGCATGATCTAACACAGTCTTTGAATAGCTGTGTTGACTGTGAGGAAATTAGCATATTTATACCCATAAAAATGAAAAAATGCACAATGCTATGTTCAGATGTTCTGAAAAGTTGAATGTTAAGCCTGAGCAGTGTTCTGAAAATACACATCCCCACACACTATTACTCAATTGATGTGGGCATTTGTGGGCATCTGCACAGAACAATACGATTATTTCTGGCTGAAAACCACACTCATATACTTCTTCACTTTCAGAATTAAG